TTTTTCCTTCTTATGTATATTTTTTTGACTTATTCTGCATTCTAGCACTAAATATATGATGAAATACTTTTATTTTCTAGAAATTTATATGGAAATGCAATGCAAAAAATCATTTCAATCAATATTATAATAGTAATTATTGTTATTATTAGTTGTAGTAGTAGAAGTAATGGTGGTGGTAGTAGTATTAGTGTTATTACATTAATGTCAGAGAAATGTATGCTTAAATCAAACGGAATAAAACTGCTGGGTGAATATTAAACATAAATATAATATAGATTAAATTAGATTTAGGTTTGGAGGCTGTTTAAATTATTTACTTAAACTATAGTTGCCATTTCAGAGTTTATCAAGAGGAAATGCAGTGTGCAGGATATTAAGATCTTTATTTTAATGAATTTATTTTTTATTTTATTACTAAATTTGCTATTTTAAAAAATCTGAGTTGCCAGATTTGTGTAGCAATATCATGCAAAATTATTTCATTAAGTATTGCTTTATTATGAATAATTATGAATTATTTTTACAAATATTTATTGTTAGTATTAATAATACAATTTCTTAAAACAAGATAAAAATGCATGATGCATGATATTAAGGTACTTTCATTGTTATGTATATGTATGTGTATTTTTAATCGACTTATTCTCTATTTTATCACTAATCAAATCCGTTATCTTGTGATGTATTTTAAATTAGAGATCTTGATTTTAGTTTTATTTTCCTAACATTTAAGGTTTTTTAATAGCACAAAGATTAAAGTCAGTGAGGTTTATGCTTAAAAAAACGTTGCCGAGTGAATATGAAAAATAAATATAATATAGATTCATTTAGATTTTATTTAGCAGGGAGTTTAGATCATTTACTATTAAAAAAAGACCTATAGTGACCTAAACTGGCATTTCAGGGTTGCCAGATTTGAATAGAATTATAATGCAAATTCTTTAGAAATAATATAATAAAACTGCTGGATGAATATTAAGACTAAATATAAAATAGATTAAGGTAGATTTAGTTTAACAGAATGTTTAGATCATTTACTATAAAAAAAGACTTAAAGTGAATAAAAGTACCATTTCAGAGTTGATAGATTTAAATAGAATAATAATGCAAAATCTTTAGAAAAATAATTTAAAAACTGCTGGATTAATATTAAAAATAAATATGATATAGATTGATTTAGATTTAGTTTTACAGCATGTTTAGATCATTTACTATAAAAAAGACTAAAGTTACCTAAATTAAAGTGACCTAAACTGCAATTTCAGGGTTGCCAGATTTAAACAGAATTATAATGCAGAATTTTTGAAAAAATAAATAAATAAATAAAACTGCTGCATAAATATCAAAAATAAGTATAATATAGATTCATTTAGGTTTTATTTTGGAGGAAGTTTATATAATTTACTTTTATAAAAGACTTAAAGCGAACAGATTTTTTTAGAATTATAATGAAAAAATGAAATTAATACTGCTGGATGATTATCAAAAATAAATATGATACAGATTATTTTAGATTTTATTTTGCAGGATGCTTAGATAATGTACTATACCTGTTTCCTGGTCCTTGTCTTTCCTGTTCGAAGCTTAATGTAGCGCGCAATCAGCTCATTCCGTCCTAAACAAACAAAGAAACAGAGAAAAAAAGTTTGATAGTTTTAATAGTCAACATGAAATTAATCAATCATTTAGAAAAATATATATAATGCACCTAAATTCTGCAATGCAATGCATTACATTACCTGCATCTGCAGCAATATTTTGAAAAAGCATTTAATTTGTGATACATCACTGTCATTTTTATGCTGTTTGCTGTTTTGCAGTTTTTATTGTTTTTACTGATTATTGCGGTCTGATTTATTACTGTGATCTTTATAATCCAAGTTTGTTATTCTGGTTTTGGTTGTGTTTATATTTTTGCAAAGCAGAAAAGTGCATAAAAAATTTATTTATAATAATAATAATAATAATAATAATAATAATAATAATAATAATAATAATAATAATAATAATAATAATTATTATTATTATTATTATTATTATTATTATTATTATTATTATCATCATTATTATTATTAATATTATTATTATTAAAAATTATCCAAATTATAAATAAAAAAAGGTATAAAAATGTATAAAAATAAAAATGCATTAATCCACATCCTTAGGTTTATTCATTAACAATTTATCATATATTTATTAAGAAATACTATTTTANTATAAATAAATTAATAAATAAAATTAAAAGAATAATCTTTATTTATTTATTTACAATTATAATTTATTTATTTATTTATTTAGCAAGAACAGTATTTTATAATAAAGTATTACATTTCATATTAGTTAAATTACATTTATAATATTTTAATTAAATTATTTACCATGATTATTTATAAAAAAACATTTTTTTATGGA